TCGAAAAATGTCATTAGTTTCTATTTTGCCAGATCTGGCCTCGTAGCAGTTTTCAAATCATTGTGATTCAACGATGATCTAAAGAGTGTTAACCTGTTAAACCAAGCTGTTAGTAAAATTCCGCCTAACTTGAAGAAAGCTGGGTCAATGCATACTGTTAGGCATAATCGGCAGCGCCCAAACTCTTAGACTTTAATAAATGGTTGAAAAAAATGTCCGAGGGGCATAAAAGATTACGTGTATTCAACTCTAAAGCAAAAAAAGAGGAACCTTTAAACCAAAAACAACCAAAGTTTTTGCAGCCAATAGCCAGGTAACTAGTAAGGCTCAGAATAAGTCTAAGTTTCTGCCGTGCGTTCTGTGTAAGGGTATTCATGCGTTGTGGAATTGTGCTGTTCTTAAGGAAAAAATGCTACTCAGCGAGCAAAATACAAAGCTGAACGGAAATTTTGCTTCGCTTGCCTCCATGGCAATCATAGTTTCCGACAATGTTCAAGAGCTAAAAAGTGCCCAAAGCCGGAGTCTGATAGCACACATAATGTCTTGCTCCATGGAGCCGAAACATTATTTCCTCGGAAGGAAAATTCAAATGTCTCAAATAAGGCTGAAACAAACAAATCCAAGGAGAATACCAAAACTTCCACCCATGCCTCTGTTAGTGATGTACATGACATTGAATCGTCTAAAGGGTTGCTGCCAATTGCAACACTTGGTGTATCCTCGGATGTAACCAGTTTCCTGACGTTGGTTCTCTGTGATAGTGCATCGACTCACTCTTGGGTGTCTTCGTCACTCGTTAACCGTCTCGGCTTAGTAGGGGAGCCCGTTAAACTGTCAATTAGTGGTTTCAAAACAACCACCGTCGTTGAGACTCAGAGGGTCAAGTTTACAGTTTCCTCCGAGCCGAATAATAGTGATTTCGAATTTTTTCTCTGTGCATATGTTAAAGACAATATTCGGATTGGTTCCAAATTTATCAATATTGCTGATTTGCAGAACAAATATCCACAATTAGCACCCATTAAGCCCACTCAATATACTTATGAGGACGTTGAAGTTATTATAGGACAAGACTACTGCCCTCCGTTAGTTCTACTTCCTCATGTTTCAATTGTGTTGTTGAAGATTCCTTTTTGACCAGATAAAATCCTGGTACAAGTTGGAATCTTATGGTGCTTTCAAACAAGTCGAAGCCCGTTCCGCCGCGGATAAACACGCTTTATTCATCCTATATTCTGAAACCGTTCACAATGGCGAAAGATACATTGTTCCTATGCTTTGGATTGATAGTGATGTCAGTCTACCAAACAACTATTATTCGTCACTCGCCCAATTTAAATAATTGGAGAGAAGGTTAAGTAAAGACCCTGAACTGCTCGAAAGATACGCAGACACAATTAGAGAGGACATTAGGAAAGGCTATGTCGCTACCGTCGAACCGCATGATCCACGTAAGAGTTCCGATTGCGAATGACATCTTCCGCACCATCCCGTCCTAAATCCCAATAAGCCGGGCAAGGTGCGCCGAGTCCTTAATGGGGCTTCTAAATTTCACGGCACATTCTTAAATAAGACCTTATTGGTGGGTCCGGACCTACTCCAAAATTTAATTTTTGTACTTTCGCGATTCCGTCAACACAAGTACTCCGTCTCCGCGGATATAGAGGGTATGTTCCTCCAGGTAGGAGTCCTCGCCCGCGATTAAATTTCACTCCGTTTTTTATGGCGGAAGGATACCACTTCCGATGTGGTAGTTCATCAGTACACTCGCCATATATTCGGCGCATGGGATTCGCCTACGTGCGCCAACTTCGATTTGCGAAAAACAGCAACTGATAATATGTCCACATACCCTGAGGCCGCCTCAACCGTAAATGAAAAGTTTTACAAGGACGATTACTTGGATTCGTTCGAGATAGCTACCCATGCAATTAGAATTTGCCGCGATTTGCTTTCGTAACTAAAATTGGGAGGATTTAATTTGACTAAATTTGTCAATAATGCTGATGAAATCACTTCAGCAATAAACCCCGAGGATTGCGGAACCTCGTTTTCACCCATCAAGGAAATATGTAACAGTGCCGAACGATCATCACACGTCTTAGGGCTTAAGTGGGACCATGTGAAAGACACATTGGTTGTTAGCAGAGGCGTGGATTGTCCTCTCGATAAGGCAATAACTCAACGACTCAACGAACCGTCTTGAGTTTTGTCTCTTCTGTGTTTGACCCTGTTAGGTTAGTAGCTCCATGCACAGTTAGGGCCCGTCTTTTACTAAAAGATATTTGAAAAATCAGTGGTCAAAGTTGGGACGACGAATTGCCAGAAGACATAAGAGATAAGTTTCTCGAGTGGCACTCCGGTCTCCCTCTCTTAGGGCAATTGACTGTTCCCCATTCTTACTTCACAGAGCCTGTTGATCAAATTGAGCTCCACATGTTCGGTGATAGCTCGCAGGACGTTTTCTGTGCGGTTGGATTTCTGCTTGCGCGACTCTCGAGCTCGCACAAAACTCAAATATCCTTCATCTTTGGTAAAGCTCGCGTTGCGCCCATGAAAGCGCTATCTATACCAAAGCTAAAGCTTCAAGCTGCTCTGCTCGCCACACGACTAAAAGATGATATACTGACCGCCCTTACCGTCTCTATTAATCATGCAAAGGATAGCAGCTGGGTTATTGGTCCGAGCATTCTCAGGACTAATGATTGCCGTTTATACCCGACGAACGTGTAATCAATAAAATTCGTTTGAAGGGTCCTTCTTGTGATGTTGATATTTGCTTGGAGACATCATCTTCCTTCGTCACCGATGTCACATCCATCAAACATCTCGAACACGGACTCAATTGGGAAAGGTTCAGCTCCTTTACAAGATATAAACGAGTAGTCGCTTTTATGTTGAGGATGCTGCCTTCACATAAGCATTTTTACGGCGAGGACTTATGAATCACCGACCCCACTGAACTTGATATTGCAGAAAGCAAACTGATTCATCTTGCTCAGATGGAATCCTTCCCCGTTGAGTTAAAAACACTCAATGCTGACAAACCTCTAAAAAATAGTAGTAAAGTTGCTACATACTCGCCATTTATCGGTCCCGCTGGTGTCATTCGTTCCACAGGACGGATTGTTCGCTTGGTGAATACCAAGTTTGATACTAAACACTCAATATTACTCAACGCCCGACATACCCTAGTTCGTTTGTTGGCCCGCAGCCTCCACCACAAGCATTTTCATCAAAGTTTAGATTACATGCGCTCCGTTTTAAATATAAAATATGCAATACTTGGGTTGCGTCGACTACTTCGGTCTATCAAAAATCAATGTTTAACATGCCGTAAACGCAAAGCAAGTACCATCCAGCCAATTATGTCCGATTTAACTGTCGAACGTCTCGGATATAAGCAACAAAACCTTCAATCATACGGGTGTGGATTACTTTGGACCGCTTTACGTTCTGGTTCGCAGAAGCGCTGAAAAAAGATGGGGATTTTTTTTCACTTGCCTCACCACCAGGGCTGTACACCTTGAGATTGTACCATCCCTGGACACTAGTTCTTGTGTCATGGGCATTGAACGGTTCATTGCGCGTCATGGTACACCAAGCACGATCTGGTCGGATAACGGCACGAACTTCGTTGGTGCGGCAAAGGAACTACCTGCCTGCATCAAGAGCTGGAATGGCATGGCTCCGACCATTTTTGCACACAAAGGGGTTGCTTGGAAATTTAACCCGCTAGGCGCACCCCATCATGGCGGCTCCTGGGAGCGCCTCGTCCGAAGCGTGAAGCGCGTGCTTTACGATATACTTGGCAGTAGGCGAGTCACCGAAGAGGTGTTAGGAACAACACTCTGCTTAGTTGAGCAGGCTTTGAATTCGAGGCCAATCACTCACGTTAGTACTGATTCACGTGAGTTAGAAGCGTTAACCCCAAACCACTCTTTGCTTGGACAACATGCCACAAGCTTTCCTTCGCTTTTATCTGGGGAGCACTTCGACCACAAGAAAAGGTACGTGCGAGCGGAGTCATATGCTAACGCGATTTGGTCTCATTGGCTTCGAGAATTTGTACCCTCGCTGAATAAGCGTGTCGAGTGGCACACTCTTTCTGACTTCACTCTTAAGACGGGCGATCTCGTGTGGGTGATTGAGCCCGATAGTCCGCGTGGGTACTACCCCCTTGCCCGAATCATCAAGTTAAACTACGGACAGGACGGTTGCGCTCGATCCGCCCTTGTTAAGACCGCAACCCGTGAAGTCAATCGGCCGACCGTTAAGCTCGCTCCGGTTCTTTTTTCTTCAGGGGGGAGGGATGTTGCAACGCAAATGTAGATTATAGATACATATAAAAGAACAGTATTAATGCTCATAAAATAAGACCAGATGGCCAAGCGGACAAAGAAAAAGTAACGTAACATTACAGTTGACGTAGGTTCGAGTCACCCACTTGCCCATGTATTAATATACTAAAAAAAGGGGGTTATGTCCTACTTTCACTGTTTTTTCGGTTCTAATTCGGTTCAGCCTTGATTAAGGCTGACCGCTAAAAAGAACAATTTGTCTCAAGGACATTACCGACCGGTTCTTGTGGCTAGCTTGCGCCAATTTGTACCGAAACAAGCTGTATTGTTGAAATTATGAACTTGTTTAACAGCGAAATTTGAATGAAAATTATCAATATAGCCGATAAATTTTGTATTGCCGAGAATACGAATTCATTATTGATTTTCCGGTTTTAAATTCATCCTACGGAGATTTAGCGAGCATAGTTTTCAGCTCTCATTTTTTTGAATTGTGATCGGAAATTGCCAAAAAATGAATGAAAGCCGAAATTTTTTTGAAAAAATCAGATACTGCTGCAAGGCTGGTTAATCTCTTGTCCAATATTTTTTGAAACATCGCAGTATTATGAATCTGGTTTTAGAAAGAAAGGTGAAAGTTACGAATGAACCGATTTAGTTGCTTAAAAATCAAACATAAAAACGTGTGTTTTTTCTCACCCCCAATTTAGGAGGAAAATTAATCGGCCACTCGGTCAAACCGTTGTTGTCCAGACTCAATTCCACCAAGTAGGGCAGATTCTGCAGGCTACTCAGATCAAGAGCGTTTCTCCGAGTTTCATTTAACCCACAGTTTTTCAATTCTAGAGACACAAGGCCAGCCGGGGGTAACGGTATCTCTTTCAAATCCGGGTTGTTGTTCAGGATCAGAGTTGTCAGTGTAGTGCTGTCAAAGAAAGCTGAAAAAAATATGATTAAAGTTGAAAACAAAAGGTCAGTGGTTCGATCCACACCAACTTTTGATCATTTTTGGATTATATTTTTTGCACAAAAAATGACACGAATGCTTCAACCTGGTTTGCAGTTTTTCACTGATAACAGCTTTTCTTTCTGCTGATCCTTCCCTCATTGACAAATATTATGTAAATACCATTTTTTCAGTTCTCCCAGTTTTTTAAAAGAACGCTTACAGTTTTTGTTGTTATTTTAAGAAGACATTCCGCTACTCAGACAATAAGTCCGATGAGCAGCCGTTAATAATATCTAACGAACCAGCTGCGGAATTTATGATTTAACAAAAAAATGTGTGTTCTTTGGAAAAATGGGATTTATTTATTGAAAAAAATGGCTCCCGTCGTTTTCTTTACCGCTTTTCAGCTGCAAAAATTTATTGTTACGTCTCTGCTGAAAACCGTTTTATGATCGTTTTTTGACTAATGGCTCCCGTTCCATTATTTCTGCTGAAAATCATTTTTTATTTATTCCATTATTTCTGCTGAAAATCAGTTTTTTTCGTATTCACAGATGGCTCCCGTCACTTTTTACCGTTTTCTGCTGAAAAAAAAAAATTTTTTTTTACTAAAATTGTTACATCATTGCCGTTTCCCGTGTCCATTTTCAATTTTCAAAGATCAATTGTACATTGGTTTTAGTACCAGTCTCTGTAAGTTTAAGAAAAAATCGATTTTATTAATTTAATAAGCAATTACAATCCCTATTTTTGAGAAAATGAGAAAGTGAAAAGTTAAGAAGTGTTTTAAGAGTTTTCAAATTAATTCAAATTTACAACTCTTTTTTATTATTACACTGAAATTGTTTCATGATGCATATTTTAAGTTTTTGTAACCCATAAAAATATCAGCACATCGCTTTAGGCTCATGATTTATTCGGAAGATTCTATGAATCTTTCAACTAATGTGAAAGGATCTCTATGAAACTTTTGATTCGTGGTAATCTTTTGAAATCAGATGAACTAAAATGTGACAAGACATTCCGTTTTTAGAAATTTAATTGATATTGACAGAAAAATATTAACCCATTGATATCTTAAACTTTACTTTTGGTGTGACAAAGTTTTGGCAACATAAGGGATTGTAATCGATTTTAATTGATTATAAATGATTTGAAGATTTTTTTGTGTGATCTATAATCAATCATGATAAATTATATATCCTAAATTATGATCTCTTGGAAAATGTAACGATTAGAATGGATTATAATTTCTATGAACACCTTATTTTGGGAATTGTAATCCGTAATAATTGTCAAAACAGCAACATAATACCCGTCATAACGATTGCTTATGCCTAAAATTAGATGCGGGTTGGTTGCGTGACGGATGACTGTAATTCAAATAGAATTGCAATCAGAAGGTAATCGAGAAATTTATGGCAAAAAAAATTGGGGTAAATTAGTACAAGATTTTATAAGTAGGCAAAAAAAGTTGGGTTAAAAGTTGAATAAGAAGTTGTGGTGTGAAAACGAGGTGTAAAACAATTAGGGTAAAACACGATTGTTTTTTTTTTAGAATGTGTGAAAAAAATGAGGGTTAATATGAGAACCAAGATACAAACCTAGCTGCAATTACTTGTTTGCTGTTAGAAAAAAGATGTTCAATGTTGATAAAAAAAAGGTGTGAAAAGTGAGCTTGATCACCGAAGTCGTTGACAGCACTGGCGGTGAGGTTACAGTCTGACATGACCAGAACTTCCAGTCTGTCGAAGTTGTTCAGATCCGTTTCTCCTATCGCCGCAATGGAGTTGTTGCCCAACTCGAGAAGCACGACTGGCTCGTCTTCCGGGATGCTGTCGAAACCGGTGGGAAAACTTGTTAATCCCTGAGCCTATAAAAGGAAAATCAAGATAAAAACCTCAATCTAAAAAGGGGGACAGAAGTGGAACCTGATCTAAACTACATATTATGATTGGATAAATTAAATGTTTTACCAATGTAAAGTATTTAATATTAACCAATCATGATCCATCTAACTAACAACCCACTTATTTGTAAGTGCTGAAGTTACTTGTAATTTCAGCACCAGAGAGATTTGAATTTAACTTAGAAATTAGTTGGACTCTCCCGAGCACTTCAGCAGCCGCAATAAACCAGTATACCCTAGATCTATTGAGCCTAGCAGAGACTAGTTAAACAACCTGAGACTAGATAGTATAAGAGTAAGATTAGGATCGGTATTAGACTAAGAAGTTGCACGAATCTATCCGGCCGAAAATAAGATAGCGTGACGAGCAGACGGTGTACCCTATCCGAAATTACTCTATGAGTTACACTTCGGTCCTAACTCATCTGGTGCGACCATAAGTCTCGAACAAGACCTTAATAGATTAGAATTAACCAAAATAGATTAGAAATTAGACAAAAACATTTACAAAATGTTATACGACAATAATTTAATCGAAATGTCTCTACGACTCAATAGATCAGAGCCAATATTCCGAACCATAACAGAACTACCCGGAATTGGAAGAAGACCTCGAACCAAAGACGACATACGACAAAGTAGAAACTTGCCGTATAGTTATATGATAGTTCGGCAAAAGCCAGAACAAACTTTTATATTTCGAATACTACTTGCAATGAATTTAGATTTCCATTTGCAAACATAAAACCTTGAAGTTACTCTTCAAAATCATTTCAGGCGCTAAACAAATTTATTAATATACAATAACGATTGATAAAAAGATCTAAGATCGTTTTCCTAAAATTCTGCAGTAATATACAAAACATGTTTGAAAAATATTTATTGAAAAATAAAAATAAAAATTAGTAGCATGACAATAAATGGTTAGTAATCATAAATCATCCTGTTGTCCCAGCTCCATCATCTAAAACATAACAGCAATCATAAACCCACTAATATCATCAAAACACTAAATCTTTCCTTTACACACATTTAAAATTTTATTAAAACTTAAATTCACTTAATTTTAAAACCAGATCATCAAGGCTTATCCTTGGATCTTAAATCATTTTCTACTTAATTAAATTTCAAATTTGATCATCAAGGCTTATCCTTGGATCAAACAGAACAACTTTGTTCTCCCCCACCCACTTAATTAGTGTCTAACGACCTCAAACGTCGATTCACTACCCAACCCTTTCTAAAGACCTAAGACTAATAGAAATTTTTAAACAAAACTAATCATTCAAATTAGGATAAACAGTGAAGAACTTCGGTTATTCATCCTTCACTTGACCCCCCCTCTTACCAGACCCAGGATAAATCTTAGACTTAGTAAGTTTAAAATAGTATCTAACGAACTACTCGCGTTCTAATTATACCTGAACCTTGTGGATCGATTTACTATTCTCCAACCCTCGAACACAATCACTACCCCTAAGTAAGATTAAGTAAGTTAACACCTTAACTTATACTAGCCACGAGAAAGTAAAAAATCATTCTTCGGAATCGATATACTTTTCTCTCCAACCCTGAACAAATAGACCCAGGTTAAGCTAACCAAAAAATCGTAAGAACTAACAGTTTAGGAAAATAGAAATCATTTAACAACCTTTTGCATCCGTCATTCTAAACCTTATGTCATTTAAAAACCTAAGAAATAAACAAACAATCGTTTTACACAATTGTGAAATAGATAACAAAAAATACGACCTTGTAATCACACCTCATACACAAACAGTTGGATACATTCGAACAAAACGACAAACACTAAAAAGAAAAATAATAACGAAACAAAGACAAATAACACGAAAAAGATTTTCAAAAAATCGAAACGCATTTTCAGAATCAGAAACCAACAGTCTAGACGAACTTTACAAACTAAAAGAATCAATAGATAAAAATTGCCCAATTCACGATCAATTATATTTCTCTGACTCAGAAACAACTTCAAACTCATCACAAAGAGGAAAAAGAAGAATAAAAAAGCAGTACAAACACAAACCAGTACATTTATACAATTGGAATCAACCAATTCGACACATTAATAATTACATATTAACAGTAATCGAACGAAAAAATGAGCTCAACGCACACCCCAGGTGAAGAAAGTCCAGATGATGATGAAATCTTTCCTTTTATAGTAGACGCAGATACTGATAGAGGACAACACATATTTTGTCAAAATTTACTCGTAAATTTATTTGAACCCGGAATCAGTCCATGTAAAACAGAGTTCCCCGATGTAAAAATCAAAAGACAAATCATAGATCACTATCTAAAAGATATATGCAACATAACACAACAGTATGGAATCTACTCCATAGAATTCACCTCACCAAACCATAATAATAGAAAATATACAATTCAAACAGACGATCTTGATTTAGAATTTTCAAAAGTTTTTTCAGAATATATAAAAAGCATCCAATACCATAACTCACAAAGAGCAAACTCCATATTCACCAATGAAGTTTTCGCAATAATATATAGTTATATTTCGATATTAGAAAACGAAATCCCAATAACAAATGTCTCACCGACAGAAACATCTAAACATTTGAAAGTACGACATGAAATCACACTACTCTCTAGTTATTTAAACATCATTAAAGAAAATTTCACGAAAGACGACGTTTCACAACATACAAAACACGATCTACAAAAAATTTTGGCATGGTTCATAATAGATTATTTCACACACAATATTGATTTAATTGCACAAGCAAGAAAAAATTTTAGACCCCAAAATTCGAACGATGATACCGCTATCACAGAACAATCAGATTATGTTTGGGACCCCGAATGGTCTCATCCCGCATTTATAAGCTTTCCACAATCAATCTCAAGTCAAGCAATAGGTACAATATCTTACATAAGAGATTATGTAAGAGTAATACCATTAACAATTGATGCAACACCATTAAACTATAATACATTTTTACCTGATACACAAAATAATAGTTTAAACTCTACAGTTATACACAATGAAAACCTCAATGGAACTAGGAACCTTACTCAACAAGATATCCAGACACCATCACACTTCATAAATGAAGAAATTGTACACACAACAACTACACAACAAAGTATTTCACCAATACGCCCAAATTTAACAACACCAAGAAATACAAATCCTTCACAAACACAGGTAACCTTACAATCAACCGTTAAACCTTCGGTTGCCCCTAAATATTCACATATGGATTACCAAACATACAGACCCATGACAATACCATCAAAAACACGCAAAACATTCACTAGAAACAACTTTGCAGACCATAATTATAATTATACACATCCATCAAAAACATATAATCAACCACAAAGAAATTTTAACCAATATACAAGATCTCGAAATTGGGATAACCCAATGGCCCAACCTAATTCAACAAATTTCCAAACAAATCCTCCACGGGATCACAGTGAAAATTACCCATTTTTTCAACAAAATAAAAATAAAAAACAGACATCTTATCAAATGGATTATTTATCCTCAGATGATGATTTCTTACAACCAGATATATTTGCACAAAATACTCAAGAATATCGTAAACAAGGAATACAGAGAACACGTACAAATCATAGAAATTTTTCTCCACAACCAATAGATGCACAAAATCAACAACCAATTCAACAACAAAATCCAATTAATACACAATCTTTTCAACCAATTCAACAACAAAATCCAATGACTGCACACTCGTATCAACCATCACAAATGCAAAATGAAATACCACTCCCATATTATCTCCAACAACATGAGATAACAAGAAACCAACTTTCAAATTTTTCTCAAATGCCAAATGCAGCAGAATCATTACAAATGACAATGAATCCATACCTTATGGGTGGATCATCAATAACATCAAACAAACCTTTAATGGTTTTCACAGGAACAGACCCTGAATACTCTGTAGAAGATTATTTAAATGCAGTAACAGCAAACCTGATTTTAAATATTGGACCTGAACCAATTAATACGCCACTACATCAAAATTGGATACATCGACGCACAGCGTTAATACAAACAACCTTAGATGGCGCAGCCCAAAAATGGTTTTCAGTACTACCTCTAGAAATAAAATCAAACTGGAAAAGATTTACACAAGAATTTTCAAAAATGTTTGACTCCGAAAGAAACAAACAACAACAAAGAGTTTTATGTAATGAAATTCGCAGATTACCAAACGAAACCATCAAGCAAATAGCAGTACGAATCGAAACACTAGTTCGAAAAGCATATTCATTAAATACACATGACTATAAAAACACAAAGATGACAGAAATCTTAATGATGACCTTAACACCACAATTAAGGAAAATAGCAATAAAAAAGAGAGCATCCCATCCTTCTTCAATTCGAGAACCCGATTTAGATTTTCGAAAACTAGTAGACAAATTAGAACAAGCAGAAATCACGATGAAACTAGAAGAAACGGAAAATCTGAAATTACAATACGTTAACAGAATTGAAACGACTCCCACTAATATTAATAATATACAGGAATCAGAGACAGACCTCGTTGAAAAAATCACTGAAATACTCAATATTTACGAAAAGAACCCAAACTTTAAAGGCAAACCATCTTTCAAAAAATGGTGTAATTATTGCCGACGATACGGACACAGTATTTCCGAATGTAGACAAAAACAGCAAGACAATCAAAATAAACCTCAAAAATATAAAGAACCAAATAAATCATTCTATCAATACATGAAAAAAGATCAAAATCTACCGAACAAAACAGTCCACAGCAACAACAGTTCAGGAAAACCACTCCCGAACAATACAAATTATACAAGAAATCAATCACCATATAACTCAAGTTATAGAGGAAGATCACCAGAACGAAGAAACACGAATAATTCATCACAAAATCACTACAATAGACCAAATAGTCGAAATAACTACTCCAGATCAC